CATTATATGGCGATTTGTTAAGCCGGCGTTGGACCACAATGTTATAGACGTCGCTCTCACGGAGTGGTTAGTGTAAACTTTCGACAGAGATGCTGCTTCGCTGATAGTTTTCATCATATTACCAAGCGTGTTTACACCAAGAGGTTTGTTCTCGTACCAAGTATTGTCAGCCGGACTCCACTTTCGCTTGGGATATTGAAAGAATGCTTCGCAGGAAGGATGCAATTTGGTAATGAATAGCTGCAAAGCTGAGAAGCCGTCGTTTTCTGCATCGGTCTTGTACATCCTTCCCAAATTTTCAAAGCTTTCGTTGTCGTGAATACCGCCAGGATGATTTTTTGAGGCTTCACTGTGAGCCATGGTGACAAATGCTTCCCCGTTTGCATCTTCGGTAAAAACAAAGCTGTCCTTCGTCAGCTTTCGTTGTCCTTCTCGTCCTCTGCGGCACCAAAACAAAGACACATGAAACCATACGTTTCTAAGGAGACCAAGTGGAGTGGACACATTCAATACGTCGCTATTTTTTAGCTTTGTGAGGTCTTCAGCTTCCAAGACGGGCTTGTGTACAACATTCTCCTTTCCCTGTTTCTTAAAGGATACTATCTTGGCGTTCAGCACGGAGTTTGACATTTTAAATGCTGGGTTGTACGACATGCTCAAACCTCTGTTGTACGGTGGACAGTTCAGGTATCGCTCTAGTCCGTGTTTTAAACCAATTAAAGTTGATTTACTGTAGTCTTCACCTTGCTGGTTTTTTACTTCGGCGTAAAATTGACAAAGACATTTATCAAGAGTTTTGTCGTCCATTTCGTGCAATTCTTGTTGAATGTTTCGCTGTTTCGACCATTCTATAAATACATGTAAGCAAATAAGAATTATAGGAATGACAGCGAAATAGTGTAGGCTACTGAATTTCAACATTTGCGGTTTAAATGCGAATGTTTATATTGTTTATAAATCTAAACAATCACTGTACCTTTAAAAACATTGACAGCGTATGTTGTTTTGTACTTCGTATTTTTCGACTGTACATCGCTTAACAGCTCGTCAATATTCTCCTGGGTTACTTCAGCAAACCTTTTACGCGTTTCACTCTTTTCTGCGGTTGCACAAATGCCCTCCAAATCAATTTTGGCAAAAAATTCGTCTTCAGAGTCAGACATGTTTAAAATTCCCGCAAAGGCACTTTAAATTTCCGTGTTTGGATGGCCTGATCCAAACACGAGTTTCGACCAATCAGAGCACGCGTTATATACATGTTATTTTATAAATCAATATCTTTAGGATATCAGTATCTTAGGATATCATTATCTTTAGGATATCAGTATCTTAGGATATCGTTTTCTTAGGATATCAGTATCTTAGGATATCATACAATCTCTTAGGATATCAGTATCTTAGGATCATACAGTATCTTAAGATATCATACAGTATCTTAGGATATCATACAATATCTTAGGATATCATACAATAGGATATCATGCAGTATGTTAGGATATCAATATCCTAGGATATCATACAATATCTTAGGATATCGTGCAATATCGTAGGATATCATGTAATGTCTTAGGAGTGACGATATATATTAGAAGCGTAAAACTTTGTAAAACGTTTTGAAGAAATAAATGTGTTCAGTTGAATCTAAATTATAAAAATTTATGCCCACACAGCCATGCGCCCGCGTGATAAATCTATAAATATTGCCTGTTCGTCTGAACATGCCCACGACCGCCAGTAATAAAATCCATTTATATCCATTAAGATCCTATCGATTAATGCAAATTCTATTGCCTTAATCCCCTTAATTACCTCAACCTTTGTGTTATATACGCATGGTGATTACTTGACAACGCTTTTTTCTATAAAAAAATCTATATATTTGAAACTTTACTTTGACAAAATGCTTGTAAAATCATGGTTCTTATTTCGTTTAAATAATACAAGCAGTGTGCTATATCTTTGAGAAACTTTATATTATTTGCTGTGGTTTCTGTAGATCAACGAAGTAACCACAAATATAAACTGTACTCTGTAGATAAGCAAACGGCATCACACTAGCTAAAATTAAACTAAAAAAAAGCTGTAGATAAACAAACAGCATCGCAGTAGCTAGAAATTAAATAAAAAACGCTGTAGATAAACAAACGGCAGTGAAGTAGCTAGAAATAAGCTAAAAACTGTGGATAAACAAACGGCAGCGGATCGAAAATGTCAAGTAAGCCCAAATAAATTAACATAAACCTGAATAAATTAAATGAATTATGACCTCATGGGCGGAGCAAAGCGCTCCGCTCGCTCCGCCTGGCCTAGAACCCCTCTTCCCTATACTACTTATCCTCTTTGCTGCATGTGGTCAAGTGCATCAGTGATGTCATAGCATATGCAGACCCATGTTGTGGTTGGCATTTCTGAAGCTTGATGTTGGTACAGTGGGTCAAATAGCAACTTGAACACTGTTATAGATGACTGTTCTCCCCAATAAATTGCATTTGCAGGGAGATTGGCTTTTTGGCTAGCTGCACCCCAAGTAACAATGGGATACATATGTGTGACAATTTTGGAAAAAATATTGCTTCTTTACATAGCATATCAGCAGTGCTGTCAGTCAACTGCTTTTCAACAACTGTTATTCCTAATCTAATGAATTTTTTATGGAAGCAATTGCCAAAAACTCCATTCCCTATTGATTCATTGCTAATCTCCTCCAATTCTTCATGTTGAATAGTTGTAATACCCACTGTACAAGTACTTCAGCTGGACATGTTCAACTGAGTTACCTTTAATTTGAAATTTAATAACTATTTATTAATGATTTGTATGGCCATACCAGGTTTTGTAATCAAGGGGTATTGAACTTGGTTAGGTTGATGGATTTTTTTATAGCTTTATATTTATATTTTAGTTCCTTAATTCTTATCTTGGCTAATAGTGTGACCAACAAACCCTTTGATATAGTTTACAGTACGTCATGATTCTCTTCTTGGCAGGAAGTCTCATTCTCAAAATTCGTAAGCAAATTGGTGAAATTGCCTTTCATCTTGAATCGTAAGAATGAGGCTTCCAGGCAAAGGTAATGAATATATATATATATGGCCAATTCAAAAAAGGTGTCCTTTCCAAACCTTAAACTATAAGTGCGCAAACCTTAATGGGAGTACAAGTTGCAACTTTCAAGCTTAGTAGTTGAATATTGCAGCTACTTGTGAATGAATTGTTCTCGTAAGGAGATGCTCACCATGTCTCTAAGACATGGGCTCCATCTATGATTTATAAACAGATTAAATGATGCTCGGCCTCCCATTATGCATTGCACGTTTAGAGTTTAAGGTTTCAAGTTTAAGGTTTGCAAAGGACAACCTTTTCTGAATTAGCTGTATAAATATAGGTAATGACATATGGATATGGACATACTGTAAACCTCTGAATATAAGCCCTGGGCTTATATTCGTTTGTACATGTTTTTTGATGGGCTTGTACACAGGGGAGCTTATATAAAGGGGAGGGGGCGGGGGGGGCTTATACATGGACAACATTTTGTGTTAGTGTAATAGTGATTTTTATGTTAGTGTATAATAGTGATAAACAAGTATAGTAATAGTGAAAAACAAATGTGGGGGGGGGCATACATTTGGAATGGTGTGAATTTTAGTAATGTGATGGGTTTGTAGATGGGGGTATTCAGGGGGCTTATTGTCAGAGGTTTACAGTATTTATATACTGTAGTTATATTTATGCGCATTTAAATGCATATATTTATGCACATTTAAATGCATATGATATGTAGGGCATTTGATGGATTTGTGTTTCCCCACCCTCTGGAATTTGATCGACACCATCTCCCGAGGAATTGAGCACCATCTTGTATCCTAAGGAAGAGCACATGTTGAGGACTGGGACAAACGACTTTCAAGCCTTTCACCACAAATTTATGTGCCCAACAATGGGGAATTTGATCACATTTGACTGATATTTGCTTCCCCATGCTAGAGAATTTGACCAAAAAATTGCATGAAAAATCAAATGCCCGACCCTCCCACCCAGGGGCTTAACATCAATAGGTGCATTAATAAAAGGATTGATGAAATGTATTTGTATTAAAAATTGAGTATACCTTATTAGTGCTTGCCCTGTTGTCCAACTTAGTTTGTAATTTTTCGTTGACGTCAACACTTCTTCCCCAAATTTGTAATATTTAGAAGCAATGCTCCCGTGCTGGCCAGCCCAGCCAGCTTGACTCAGCTTTTGCTTTGACATCACGAAGTGCATCTTCTAATTCTTAATACTATGAGCGCCGCGCGCTTCAACTGCGATTTCTGATGTTGCTTTCTCTTCTTACTGCCATTGCGCATCTTTCTTTTCTCCTCGATTGTATGTCGCATGCTGAAATTTACCAAAATATTCGAATATACGCTCGACGTTTTCGAGAATGCTACAGATCGATCCTTCGCGCGAACTGCAAATATTGGCGCCTAATATTTCTACATCATTGGTTTTCCCTATATGGAAGTGTTGCCTATATAAGGAATATGGTTACCTTAGCAACCGTACAGTGCATTTCTGCATAATTCATATTTTTAAAGGGAATTCGTTCATGCAAAGAGGTTTTTGTCGTTGTAAAATGTGTTTAAATATACGTATGGATAAATGTAATAATTTATTATGTACTCTATATGTATTCCTTATGGTATTTACACGGTTAAAGCTAAGGTGAGTCCATTTACAGTGCTAATATTTTTTATACATACAATGTTTCAAGATATATAAAAGCTGTTATCCACTTCCCCGTTTATAATGCGAAAATACAGGCAAACTGTTCTAGTTTTTTATCTGGTATTTTACGTGGAATTTGCCGAAGTGTTAATTGTAGTCATCGAAGACTACTAGGGAATGTTTCCTAGTAGTTTTTCGTCAGTGTAATTGCAATTGTGGTGGTCAGGTTAGGCTGACCTTTTTAATATTAATATTTGAATGCTGTTCTTAGGGTTTGTAATCCATGTGAGTATATATATACATTTTAAGATCTTACCAGGAACGACTGTGAAAAATGCAGCACAAGGTCCTCTGGTAGGAATTGAACGTACGGCCCTGCGATTCCGGTGCAGCGCTCTAACCAACTGAGCTACAGAGACCAGCTGTTGAGCTGTAACCGTAAGTTCATGTATATATAGGTAATCGGGTGTGTGGGTTGTGATAAGATGGACTTCAATGATCTGGTTTTTTGCACTTCACTTGGTGGTATTAATATTTGAATGCTGTTCTCTAATATTTGAATGCTAATATTTGAATGCTGTTCCCTATTAACATTTGAATGCTGTTCTATATATACATGAACTTATATGGTTACAGCTCAACAGCTGCATGGCCTCTGTAGCTCAGTTGGTTAGAGCGCTGCACCAGAATCGCAGGGCCGTAGGTTCAATTCCTACCAGAGGACCTTGTGCTGCATTTTTCACAGTCGTTCCTGGTCAGGTCTTAAAATGTATATATATACTGACTTGGATTACAAACCCTAAGAACAGCATTCACCTTATTAATATGTCTATGTTACAAGTCTTATTTCCAGTCAGGGCCAGGTTTTGATATTCTTCTGTCGTGTAATGCACAGCTGCAGGGTCATAAATGTACATTATGAAAACTAGGTGACCATGCATAGCCATGTTTACGCCACAAGCCAAGCCTGGCCAAGGCCTAGCTTTGGACTAGATTGTTGTACTGTAAACACACTTTGGCCTGGCTTAGGCCAGGATATCTGGGCCCATCAGAACAGGTGTTCCAAATTTCCTGGCCTAGGCCAGGCCGAAGTGCATTTACACTACAAAAATATAGTCCAAGGGTAGGCTTGTAGTGTAAACACGGCTCAATTGATTGGCAATTGTTGAAAGATCATGCCGCATCTTCAGATGCCTTGTACATGTTCTTGCAATATCTCACAGCCTAGCTCACATTTCTTTCTCATTTTCTCCTTCTACGTGTTCATTGATAGCTTTCAATGATTTTGTCAGACTATTCTCCGTCAGATTTTCATCAGTCCACACTTTCCATCGTTTGTGGCACTACAACAGTAATTTCTCCACCATGTCCCCTGAGTTTCAATCTTCGCACTCTCTCATCATTCCCATCATGTTAGCGCTTGAATCAACTGATGTCAACACCAACAGATTTTAACCATTCTTTTGCAATTTGACCCCCACACAGTCTTTGCTATTTCACCCTGAGTGTTCTTGATGTTATGCTTTCTTTCTAGAGTTGACCAATTTAGAACCATATTATCTGGATGATTTTCCACTTCTCTCATTTTCTCCTTATCAAAATTCTTGTTTTCTAAGTTTCCAAGTTCCAACAGGACTTCTCATTCTTCATGCGTGCTTCGTGTCGTGATTGCTGTGTTCAGTAGCGTAGCCTGCCCGACAATTTAGTCCCGCTATGTAAATATTTTCGTGTTCATTGACTGTGAAAACAATCAATTTCTAAGGAAATGAATAATGATAATAATTTTGAATTTACATAGCGGAAATAAATCGTCGGGCTGGCTACGCCACTGGCTGTGTTGCTGCTAGGAATATAGAAGTATATTATTTTAGTTCGTTATTCCTGCTTATACATGATTATTTTTGTCTTTGCATTAAATTGCATATACTGTAATTAAAAGGGTACATTAAAAACTTGCTGGAATACTCGGTTAATTTCATCATACACCGTTTGTGCGCCAGTCTGGTATTATCCGGCGTGTACACTTTATCTGTACTGTCTGTACACTGTACAGGCTGTTTACTTACATTAGCTACAATATTTTGAGCGCGTCTAATTTTGACAGATTATAATCTTAAATTACTGATAAATAAGGCTCTTGTTTCATTATAGCATTCAAGATTTATCCTGTGCAATATTGTCTCCGAAATTAATGCTTAGTAGGCTAGTAGCCTTTTAGATTTGTAGTATTATATAAATCAAAGCATGTTACGGTATTATTAAAATGCGAAGTTGTGTAGATAATTTGGTCACAAATGGTTCTGTGCGTTCGACATTCACTTGTATATAAAAACAATGGTATGTGTGTATTTTTGTGGATTACAATTGCCGGTTTTAACCTTGCGCAAAGCAAAATATATCTGGAAACATGTCTTTATGCTCTTCGAGTTATTAGAATCGCCATTTTGAGCGTTCTTTGTTGCCATGGCTATGCGGGAGACCGCTGTGTGTAGAATCAGGGCTCACTCGACAAAAATGGCGGTTTTTACAATTTATTTACTCGGCCGAATGTTAAATTTCAATGGCTTTGCAGGGAAGGTTTTTATTATCAACCATTAAAGGCTTAGGCGCTAATTATCTTCAAAATATGTCCAAGTTCTTGAGAAATACCGTAAACCGAAAAGATTTAGATTAGAAGTAGCTTTAATTATCGAAAATATGCGAGTAGAAACGCGTGTTTTGACTTTGGATCCATTTTACGCAACAATAACACAACATTTTCACGGATCCAAGTTTGAATGTGTTAGACGAGTTCCTTGGCAATCTATTTGTAATTGAATGTTTCAGTGAGAACCAGCTCAATCATTCCCCGCAAAGCGGTTGAAAAAGTTCCATGTTTTTGTTGCTATTTTTAGACCAACAACTGGTCACGTGACACGTTTTTTAAAATTTTTGGTCGGTTAAAAAAATTCTAAAATTATGTTGAGTACCATTAACGCCCAAAACCCTGTCAATTTATCTTAAAATCGTTGTAAATAATTTTTCTTTTATTTTTCATGAATTAATGCTCACTGTGAAACTTGACCCAGTCATTAACATACCTGAGAACATTTAAGGAGAGATACAGAAATCACAAGAAATCATTCAATGATATTAAATACACTTGTATTTAATAACACGGCCTAATGAACTTTCTAAACATGTATGGAAACTAAAACTAAATAGAAAACAATTTAATATCAAGTGGTCCATCTTATCCCGAGCAAGTTCAATCAAAGCCGGTGGAATTAATTGCAATTTATGTTTAGAAGAGAAATTGCAAATACTCCGTAGTTATAATTCTCGGTCTAATTTAAATAAACGTAGCGAAATTTTCATGAAATGCGTGCATGCGCGCAGATTCCACGCGGGACGATTCAAACGAACACGCGTCAGCAAACATTGCGAGTAGTAAAACGCAACAACTTAACCGTATTAATATGTTGCCTGATGATTGCTTGTTGCATGAATAAATTATAAGGATGTCAATGAATAAATTGTAGGGATGTCAATGTGACGGTTAAATGTTTGTTTGTCTAAACTATGCCACGCTTCTTTAAACTTAAAAGAAGCGTGGCATAGTTTAGACAAACAAACATTTAACCGTCACATTGACATCCCTACAATTTACTTACAACTGAAACGCTCTCACAAATCTCCTAATTCATCTTCATTAACCTTTAACCCACCCTCAACTTCCTTCCCTATACCGTCTCATGATAACAATAATCACCCGCATTCGATAGTAACTAATGGCAACCAACATACTGAAATCCATCAACCAATCAGACGTTCTCACATGTATATATATATATATATATATATATATATATATATATATATATATATATATATATATATATATATATATATATATATATATATATATATATTCTGTACAATTATATTCCGCTCTTAAATAATAATTGACACATATTTTCTGTTGGGAATTGTTCATAAAAAGTTTGTTATTGGAATGTTGATTATAGTATTTTTAAATAAATTCTTCCAAATGTTCAATAGTTCTAAAAGCGCTTCACTCATTTCCAGTACGTATTTTGTATAATTCGCGTAAAGCACGCCCGATGCTCATTGTAAAATTTTCACGAGATCAACAAAACGCAGTGATAAAAAAATTGAGAAAAATCGAGTCCGCCAGTCCGTCAGTCCGCGAGTTCGCCAGTCCGAGTCAGTATTTTATCCACATCCAAAATTACTTGGAAGTCGCCGGAACACGAATGTACTTACTGGATCGGGTAAAATCCTATCCGCGTTTTACCCGATCGGGTAAAACGCGGATATGCCTCTGAAAGAGCCGAAAAGTATATTTTGCCACATATCAGCGTTTTACCCGATCGGGTAAAACGCGGATATGCCTTTTAATGAGCCGAAAACTATATTTTACACCATATCCGCGTTTTACCCGATCGGGTAAAACGCGGACATGATGTTTAAAACATATTTTAGAGAAAAATAGGTCATCCGTCCGTCCATCTGTCTGTCCGTATCAGCGGTTTCCCCTAACCCATCGCCCCATTGTGCGAATTTGTGAATCGGACATCCCCCTTTCTACGACCCATGTGGCGGCACGAAAACGAAAACTGTGAGACATATATACATTTATAAAGACAAACAAATCTTCGGGAACCTGTAATGAAATATCGCCAACCGAGTGGTTTGATTATTTTGAGAATTTAAATAGATTCAATGACCATGGTGACAAGAATAGTCATGAAGTACAAATTGTAAAGACTATAATATTTGGGCAGCGACAAAGAATGAAACGCTTGACAAACCAATTTCTTACCATTATATTTTGTCAAAATTTTTGACACCATTTTATCAAAAGGAGTATTTCCATCAGCTTGGGCTAATGGCAACATTGTTCCAATATATAAATCGGGCAATACGTTTGACCCTGGTAATTATAGAGGAATATGTATTAGTAGTTGCTTGGGGAAATTTTTCACTTTAATAATGAATACTCGTTTAAATCTATTTCTGGAATAAAATAACGCAATAAATAAGTGTCAAATTGGTTTTCGAAAACATCATCGAACAGCTGATCACCTTTTAGTTTTAAAAAATTTAATCGATTTTTACAGATCTCATAGAAAACCGATTTTCGCCTGTTTTATCGACTTTAAAAAAGCGTACGATAGTGTTTGGAGAAAAGGTCTTTTGTTTAAGCTTATTTCATGCGGGTACAGCAAAACATTTTTACGATTTATATCAAATAGGCCCTATGTATTCCTCCGTAAATTACTCGGTTAAATTGAAAGATGGAGTAACTTCCCCTTTTCAATCTTATATTGGTTTAAAACAAGGGTGCAATCTTAGTTCTACTCTATTTAATATATTTATAAATGATATACCAAATTTGTTTAATCAATCGTGCGACCCTGTTAGACTTGATAACACGGACTTGAGTTGTTTACCTTATGCAGACGATTTGATTTTGTTGTCCGAGTCGAAAGCAGGATTGCAAAAGTGTTTATCAAAACTCGAAATATATGCAAAAAAATGGAAGCTATATTAACAAAAAGACTGAATCTAAAATTTTAATATTTGGCATTCATTTTTCTGGGAATTTTAAGAAAGCCCTAAAAGTCTTACGTGATAAAGCTTTAAGAGCATACAATAACCTTTTAAAAAAAATTCTAATTTTGAAAACGTACCAATAAAAATACTTTTAAAACTATTTTCAGGGATGATAATCCCCATTTTGTTATACGGATGTGAAATTTGGGAACCTTATTTGATAGGTAGAGTAACTACCTTTGAGATCTTTAAGAGTAAATTCTTCAAAATTATCAATGAAATTGAAAGAATTCATTTAAAATTCTGCAAACGAATTCTTGGCGTGCACTCAAAAACAACAAATTTGACTATTTATGCCGAATTAGGAAAGGTTCCTTTGATTGTTCAAATTTCTACTCTTGAGTTAAATACTGGATTCGTATTAGCAGTACATATTTTAATAATACGTTATCTGGTGAAGCTAGAAAGGTTTGCATGCGTTTGAATCTAAAACCAATAGTTTTCATACAATTTTTGCTAAAAATGTGTAAATTAGAGATGAAGGACTTCGAAAAATTGATGAGTCAACCAAACAGTGATGAGTCAACCAAAACAAGACGAAATTTTTGCCATGATTTAAATGTTACATTAAATAACGAATTTACCTCATTTTGAAAAGACCAGGTTCTTCAAAATGGTGATAGTGGTAAATTGAAAGAATATAAGAACTTAAATAAATGTGGGTATTGAGAAATACCTTTTAGAAATTAAAAATTTTAAGTACCGTCAAGCAGTTGCAAGCTTACGAGTTTCAGCGCACAGATTACCATTAGAAATTGGTCGATATAAAATATTGCCTACTGTGACAGAAAATGTAAACTTTGTGATCAGGGTGAAGTTGGAAATGAACAACATTACCTAATGTCATGTGCATGGTAACACAGTGTTTACATTTTTGCGACAGAATTTTATTAATTCTGTTTATAAAATTAACCAATCATTTAAATATTTTGATACACAAAGTTTGTTCCATTATATACTAAGTATGAAAGATAGAAATATTCTGAAATTATCTTCAAAATATTGCTACGATATACTAAGAACTTTTGACATATTGAATGAGTTAGCCTGAATAAATTATTTGTAAGTTTATATACTGTAATGTCTTTTTATATTTTATTTTTTGTAACTAATGTATATGTAGGTATTCAATGTACCAATATTGGTATTTGTTTGAATAAAGTTTCTATAGCGAGACGAGTTAAGACCACACTGAAACGTATTGCTTCAGACAGCTGTTTAGCAAAAACCTCTCTAGTTACAGGCGTGCCTTTCTGCGTCACAAATATTGGACCTGGTTGAATGCCTCGCAATGCAAGGTATTCAAGCAGTAGAGCGACAGGACAGCACCACGTTTGACGATAAACCAGTAATGTAAAAGGCCGTTGGTTCTAATTGTGTTTGAAATCTAAAAGGTCAATTTGGCGCCAACCACTTTGTGGCTCGAGTCGTAAACATATGAGATTTGATCCATTTGCAAAGGTTGACAACTTGCGTTGTTAGTTTGCTTAGTAATTTCGCCAATCCTTAAAAAGGCGAAGAATGCCAAAGATCATATTGCTTTGAATTGACAAGTCTGGTAGCACGAAGCAGTAATACCAGCAGCCGCAACAAGCAAACTTTGTAGTATTGGCAATGTCACCGGCAAGCGACAGTCTAACCGTATGCCATTTTTTGCATATCCTTTTAACATTTGAATCAGGTAAACTGGACAATTTGTGAGAATAACCAATAGCAGAGACGTAGGTGTTGACTGAAGAGGATGCATAATTGCGGTCAAAAAAATACGCTATAAAAAACGGCAATGTTGGGGGGAGGAATAGGCATGCTAAAACGAGCAGTCTGAAATATCGCAATGTGGAATTGAGCAAATAGTTTCCATGCCCTAGTATAAATAGCAATAGATGATTGCTGTAAGCTTGATTTAGTCAAATGAGTGACTATATCTGCCAGTTTTGAGGCTGTAGATGAAGGGGGATGTTTGTGGGAAGACTGTTCATGTTGACCGGTGCTAATTGTTGGAAGGCAGTCACCTGAAATCGAGATAAACAGTCGGATAGTTTGTTATAAATGGCAGGAATATGCTTAGTTTTAAACATTATGTTGTTTTGTAAACAAACCAAAACTATTTGACGAACAAAACACATTAATGGCTTATCCTGGCACGATCTTTTGTTGATTATATGAACCAGAGCTTCATTGTCAGTAAATAGTAAAATAGACTGATTGCGGCATTTTGTGCCCCCATAAGCACGGTCAAGATATACCTTAGATAATTCCTCTCTCTGTCAGCTTAATATATAATACACCACGGCTTATCAATTGTAATAACCGACTTATCTCCACGAAGTCTGAGATGGAAGGCATAAAATCCCTATTTGCACGCAAATATTTTCTTTAAATAAATGAAGTTTATTGGTAGGATCAATCCCCAGGGCTTTGGGTTTAGCTGACCTTTGATTTTGTGTAAGGTGTTTGATATTCAAACTTCACTTTTCCTGACTCCTGAACAGTTGTCCTAGGGGCTGTTTGCATGACGTAAGATGATTTCGGGATTTAGGCTATTTAGTAAGCAAAAGTTCAAATGCTGGTAAATTTAACAGGACTCAAATGTTGTAGAGAAGATCTTGTAGTTCAAGATTCAAGAAGATTATTATTGCTGCTTGAACGACCTTTTCATTTACAGTATATTCCATCTCTAGAAAATAATGAGATGTTTTGCTGAATCATGCATTGTAACTTATTTCAAATACCGAAATCATCCTGCCTCATACCGCGCGTACGTCCTGGCAAAGCGGTATCATATAAAAAGCCCCTTATTCAGCGTGCAAATTGCGCATGTTGCCTTTCATTCCTTGGGGGTGAGGCAGCATTTTCCTTGCGATAGTAACTTCTAGTTTAAACTAGTTTCAATTAGTGATGAGCATAACCTAAATTTTAAGCTATACCTCAAAGAAGATGGTTCATTTCAACATAAACATTGAAATGTGGGCATACTTACAGCTCTGGCGCACGTGTAGTTTGACATTAGCAGACCTTCTGAAACATTTTAATGAAAGTATAATTCACAAAGTTCACATTTCCACTTACTTCTTAACATTTGTTTTAATCCAACTACAGTAGCTCTGCTAGGCACGAGCAAAATTTAGTGTTGATGTAAATATCCATTTTGTTCATGTTCCCCCGGTGAAAATATATTCTATTCCAAAGCTGATTTCGACGTACTTTAGCTTTTAAGAAACCGTTGGCCTTCCTCAGTAAGATTATGAACTGTTTCACAAACATATTTGATGATAAACAGCTAAAATACTCTCCGAAAGTCTATATTTTTGCTCTTCGACGCGAAAATGGAAACTCAAAAAGAAAGGAGCCGCTATTTTTGGTCAGCGTTGACAAATTGCCTACCTGTTTTCTGCCTCGACTTGTCCAAGGACTTACGGCAACGCAGGCAGCCGAGAAACCCTGGGAACGAGGATGATTTTATAGTAAGTGAAATATACGGGTGCCTAGGTTACAGTCCTCCGCTATGCGCTACTTTTGTTGTCAAAATAGATTGACTTTAAAGGCCGAATATCTCCGAAACTAAAATTTTAACGCAAAAACTAATCTAGAACTTACAAACTAACTTTTTATGCTCTATCCGAATCATGGAAAACCCATTTTGGGTTTATAGGCACTTTAAACACTTTGTTTTCTGTTAGTTCGATGTGGGATAAGGCAGTGTCGGAAGACAATGGGAAATTAGATGTTGAGGTGGTAGCTTGCGCAGGACTAAAGACTATGAAACAGGGAACAGTAAGCTAGCTTTGTCACGGCTGTAATTTTTATCGCATATTCGAAAAATGAAGTGAATAAGCCGACGAAGGGAGACTTTGGGCCCGCAGTAATTGGCAATATGCTGTTGTGGTGACCCGACCATGCTATTTTATTTTTGCATTTTCAAATTTTTATTGTAATTTTATGCAGGCAAAGTTAATAAATAAAAATTAAGGTAGGCATATGCTAGGTATGTACTTGCATGCATCATCCATCGGGAAAAACACACGTGCTTTCATATAAGTGAATACAAGAGGATCACATGATAAAACCAAAAAGATGGATTTAATACTTACGAGGCAGTCCGTGTAAAAACCGACCATTCGAATTTCTTAAGATTACAGAATTCCTTCATACTTTCTGTGTGGAAGAAGTCATTCATAAAATGAACAAAAAACGTAGACTTTGGAATTGTAGTCAGTTTTTAAATTTTTTTCGCGATTATTTTCGGACGCGTTCGAAAACAAGTTAAAACGTTAATTACCCAAGTGATATTTGAGCTTTTTTATATCCGTCACAATTCATCTCGCGCTTTTATTCTAATTTCTTGAAACTTATATTTTTATTATTTCCTGCCTAGGCATGGACCTAAACTAAAAATTATCCTGATCACTTGAAGCAAACAAAATATTGTGATTTTTTAAAAACGTCTTGCAGACAGTGGATTAAATATTTGTGTTAGTTTAGACCAATTGCGAAACTTAGTAACCGCGCCTTCGCATAACATGAAAACGAGGCTTATTATGCAAAACGCAAAATTCTATTTTTTGCTTTGTGCGAAAATTAAAGAGTGAGTTGCCAAGTTTTATATCTGTTTTCTCTCGTTTTATCAAGTTTTTAGATACTTTTTCAGCTTATAGTCAAATCAATTATTATCCTAGTTATTAGTGTAGATAGTGTTTTCTTCAATTGACGCGTTTTCGTGGGGTGTTTTTAATTATTTTGACGGCGCGGGCCGGTGGAAATATCATGGAAAACATCGAAGCAAACTCAGGTAAGCAAACCTTTTTTGCGAAATAATTTGTTATAAAGTTTATTGACCATTTTTGTAGACCTTAGTTTGATTTTTTGAAACACTTGCGTCAATTTAAATCTAATATCCGGTGTGAAATCGGCCAATTTCTAGCCTGCGAACAGGCTCTCAAGCTGAATTGAGAGCCTGCATCGATGACTAATGAATTTGAATATCTGCATCTCAAATCGTGACGCGAAATTCTCATTGGTCAGATGCTATAATTTATATGTTTCCGCTGAGCTCTATATATGTCAATTGCTGAAGCATTATGCATAAAAAACACAGTAACTGATCAAATTGGTCTTGGCCGTCTTATCTCAAAGCACGAAATGTTCTCTTTTGAGAAAACAGTATTTAAAACATTCGAACTTTTGCTTGAATATCTTATATTTCGAAAAACAGTATAAACTGTACGGTCTAAATTTAGTTTGCACGGTCTAAATTTAGTTTGCATGAAAGTTGTAAACAACACCATATAAGGATAGACATTCCATATTTGGAAAAACGAACGTTACGGGGCAGATATTCAAATTCATTAATCATCGATGCAGGCTCTCAATTCAGCTTGAGAGCCTGTTCGCAGGCTACATTGACATGGAAAAGTTGTCAAAATATGTTTATCAGAAACGTGCAAAATTCAAATTAACACGCGCAGGACGCGAATTATTTGACTGTTCATTGTGTGGCCGTATAGTTGTCCATAATTTTATCGTATTTCGACATAATTAGCGGGAGATATGCCAGTTTTTCGTGACAACCTTGGTCTATTTGTTCGATATTCGTAATGATATCGTCATACGCTGTTGGGAAGAGAGAAAGAAGTTAGGGCTTATTTGATCGTTTGGATCGATACTAGTAAGCTTAAGCAAGTGACGTTTTTGACAACACGAGCGGCAGTAACGTCAGAAGATGGGGTCAAGGGCGTCCGTGTTGTCAAAAACGTCACTTACTTAAGCTCACTAATATTGGGGCACAGGGGGTGCCTAGAAAAGTCCAGAACCACCCTAAAAATGTTCTGGTTAACCATAAATTTTCTGCTTTTCAAATAGCGGAACTTCTACTATTAGCGCGTCTTGAAACAATTCAACTGATTTGTGAGCTCACGAGAAAAACGGCTAACGCGAAGCTTAAAGGGGGCCTACAGTCATTTTTTAGTCGAAAAGCCACCATTAGGTATTGTTTACATTTTTTGTTATTGTCGCTACTTGACATGCGCACCACGGCATGCATGCGTCTTCCGGGTGTGCGGAAGTACTCATACTCATGGATACTGCATGTAAGATACAGCCAAACGAATCTCCGTGGAGTCCCTACTTAAGGTAGCTTTTCGACTAAAAAATGACTGTAGGGCCCCTTTAAGGCAATTCCGCAGTTTTTTTTACTGCGCATATCTTATAACTCATATAATTTCATCCATTATACGTATACCGTTTAAAAAAATCATTTTATGACAATTTTATGTTACTTCAAAACATCATTGGTTACATTCGTGCAAAGAATTACGTTAAAATCAATGTTTTCAAGAAAGGCATACAAAAGTGTAGCTAGGGTTTCTGTGTCTGCAGTATATTTATTCACTTGTATTTCACGTTTTAATGCCACAATTCCCTAAAAAGATCGGTGACCCCCGTTTTTTAAATTGATAATTTATTTCTTTAAGGTTACAGGACAGGTCGCGGTACCGTTACGCTTTTGAGTTGTGCTCCTGCTGGTTTTAAGTTATATTTATGAAAATATCATTTTTATACAGTAAAATAGATGTTCTAAAAAATTGTGTTCGGAAATTTTTGTTTATTTCGTCATTCCGCTGATATGGCGATTTCTTTGACGACTGCAATATATTTCTGAATTG